ATTTACAATTCTACTTTGCTTGAACGAGAAATGTCCCCCCTTTGGGAATGGTCTAAAGACACTACAGTCAGTGGCACTGCCCCAGGGGGTGAAAAAGAAAAAACAAAACCAAAACCACAACCCACCCCATCCATATTGCCACAATTTTAAAAAAAAAGAAAAAAAAGAACAACAACAGCATTGATATCTGTTCTCTCACATGATGGAGAAGTGTTTGTCCAAAGACACACGTACCACAAGGGTTTGTCCAAAGACATTCGAGCAAAAGAACAGAAAAAAAATTTCGTCACTTTTAATATAAAAGTGGTTTTACAATTCTTAAAAAGGAAATATTCATTCAGCCCCCATAAGTCAATTGAGCCCATGGACTCTCATTCCATCTATTCATCATCAAACAGGAACAGGAGCAACCTCAGTACAGCAGAAGACATTATGGGTGACCCATTCAGCAGATATTGTGGGTGACCCATTTAGCAAATATTGTGGGTGACCCATTTAGCAGACATTATGGGTGACCCATTCAGCAGATATTGTGGGTGACCCATTCAGCAGATATTGTGGGTGACCCATTCAGCAGACATTGTGGGTGACCATTCAGCAGATATTGTGGGTGACCCATTCAGCAGATATTGTGGGTGACCCATTCAGCAGATACTGTGGGTGACCCATTCAGCAGACATTGTGGGTGACCCATTCAGCAGACATTGTGGGTGACCCATTCAGCAGATATTGTGGGTGACCCATTCAGCAGATATTGTGGGTGACCCATTTAGCAGAGTAGAAGACATTGTGGGTGACCCATTTAGCAGATATTGTGGGTGACCCATTTAGCAGATATTGTGGGAGACCCATTCAGCAGAGTAGAAGACATTGTGGGTGACCCATTTAGCAGAGTAGAAGACATTGTGGGTGACCCATTTAGCAGAGTAGCAGACATTGTGTGTGACCCATTTAGCAGATATTGTGGGTGACCCATTTAGCAGAGTAGAAGACATTGTGGGTGACCCATTTAGCAGATATTGTGGGTGACCCATTCAGCAGATATTGTTGGTGACCCATTTAGCAGAGTAGAAGACATTGTGGGTGACCCATTTAGCAGATATTGTGGGTGACCCATTCAGCAGATATTGTGGGTGATCCATTTAGCAGAGTAGAAGACATTGTGGGTGACCCATTTAGCAGATATTGTGGGTGACCCATTTAGCAGAGTAGAAGACATTGTGGGTGACCCATTTAGCAGAGTAGAAGACATTGTGGGTGACCCATTTAGCAGATATTGTGGGTGACCCATTTAGCAGAGTAGAAGACATTGTGGGTGACACATTTAGTTTGCTGACAACGTTGCAGATCATGTCAAGAACGGAGTAAGGAATATGTGAAAAATTCCTGTGAATGCCTAGCAACAAAAAGTCTCAACACATGCACAACTCACCTCTCCCAGAATTCTGAACAAGGAACTCTTCCCACAGCCATTGGGCCCACAAATCAAGACGTTCTTGCCCGAGTGTACCTGGAAGCACAACACGGACACAAAGTTGGGAGTTTCCATCGTACAGGTCCATAGCCACATGACGCTCTTTCTCATCCCCCCCCCCCCCGAAAAAAAAATTTAAAAAATAAAATCACCCTCAAACTTAAAGATGGTTAAAAAGGAAATAAGAAATATACACAAAAGTTGGCAGACAATCTGAGAGATTAGGTGCCTAAGAGGTCAAAAAGGTCTTAATACACTTGTTCACTAAAACAATGCATAATGCATTTCACAATGCATCAAAACTAAATACACTGAATCCTCCTCCCCCCCCCCCTGTCTCAAACACAAACATTTACACAAATACTTTTTTACCTGCATTTACATAAATGTAAGATAAACTCCAAAGAAGAGAACTGGATTGAAACGATCATATCTGTAAGGCTTTGTAAAAAGATATGGATATCAGCTGCTTCCCCAAAGTAACCACCCAATTACAGTCTAGCATGCATGTACTGAAACTGGCAGGACACAGGAATCTTTTCATTATGTACGAGTTTTAAATAAAAAGAAAATACATTTATAAGGAAAAAAAACAACTGCGACCCGACAATCTTTTTTCTATGTGCAAGTTTCTCTAGGTGCTTGTTTCTCTATAGGCTTGTTTCTCTTCGCTATGTGCCTGTCCACTATGAGCATGCCAGACTGAACATGTAGCAACATGTAATCTTAAGATATTTTTCTCAAATGGGAGTACTAAACCAACCAAAACTGTACTTTTCTCCTACATTTCTCTAGGTTTGTGGTATTTACTATTCGTCTACATCATCACTGAACTGCCGTTTACAACAAAGCAGTATCACATGAATGGCCATGTGATCCCCAAAGCAAATAAGACAATAAAAGAATAAATAAAAGATGCCAAACTACCTGCTAACCAAGCTCACAGCATTAGCAATACAATACCCTCACGGAAGTATCAAGAAAAACATCAGGACAAAAGGAAAAAAGACCCAAAAAAGCAAAACAAAACAAAATCCCAACCAAACACTAAGAGATAGCAAACCAAACCAAACCAAAATGCCTTATTTCGTCCTACACC